CCTTTCACAAGTTCTGGCCAGGCTTTAAAGCAACATGAATCTGAAAAATATTATTTTGTGCTTTTGTCAATCAACAATGCTTTCATTTGAACTTAACTTGCTGCACATCACCCATCTGATTTCCCTCATTTAAGCACAGAAAGTATGATAAGTATTCAATATGACTGAGATTTGGGGCATGCAAAATTTCAGGGTCAATAATGTTTGGACAGTTGTTTAGTAAATGAATACCAATAAGTTCATGGTGCACTTAAAAAGAGTACCGCTCAGCAGAAAAGCAGGGAACTTTGGTCTAAAAATGAAGGTGATGCTATTTTCCATGACTTGATGGAAGGCCAAAACCAGAACAAACAGATCCTTCCACATAAGTAACACAGAAACTGGTCTTTAATCAAGACAGCAGCTGCCGTGTTTGTGTCAATGTTCTCTAAGCCTCATAGTCAGGCTCACAATAGTTGATTGGGTAACAAGCCAGGATTCTGGGGATTCTTGCTGTTCCACCCCACACGTACAGGTTTAGATGGATTGAGCTACTACTGTGGCTTAGCAGTTACAAATTTGGAATTCTGGAGCGAGATGGCCATGAGTCGAAGTCCCAATTCTGTCACTTACTGGCTGTGTGGCCTTGGGCGAATTACTTTACTCTCTGAGCCTGTGCACTCAACCATTAGAAGTAGAACATAAGAGAGCTTTACAAGTTTGCACAAGAGAGCTTTTGAATTTGCTATAAGGATTAAGTTAGAATTCCTATTAAGTACTAGCAGGTAATACAGGCCTACCTCATTTCATCGCACTTCGCTTTACTGTGCTTCACAGATGTTGCGTTTTTGACAAATGAAGGGCAAGAGCCTCCACCAGCAAGAGATTACAATGCGCTTCATTGTGATACCCCTTTATTATGGTGGCCTGGAGCCAAGCAGCAACATCTCCAAGGTAAGCTTGCAGGTGCTTGATGGAAGGCAACAACTTTATTTTCTATTATTGAATTAAAGGTTCTGTCAGTTGTCACTTGACCCCTGGAATGGTGGTTCGTTGAGTTACCCAGAGTACTACTAATTCCTTCACATGGAGGGAAACTTCCAGTGGTTCCCAGAGGAGGAAGCAAAAGCAGAGGGAGAATAGCCAGGGAGGAAGGAAGTGGAGGTGGCAGGGAAAGCACCACTGTCGACTGACGTGGTGTTGACTGAACCTCTCCACCAAAGGGATAAAATTAAGCTTCAGCCTTTGAATTCTAAACTGTGAGATAGAACTATTGGTGTCTCCTGGACATGTCCCACTTGCCACTCCGCAGATACTGAGGAACCCTGGGTGTTTTAGAATCATAACACAGGGAGGACATAAACCACAGCTGAGTAAAGTCTTAGCTCTATAAAGATTATGCAGAGTACAGGATGTGGTGCAAGTGAGATGAGCAAGGGGCAACTTCAAAACCCCTATGATAAGGAATTCTGAGCTCTGTCCTTGAATGTCACCCTGGCAAGCAGAGCTCAATAGCCTCAATAAAACATTGCATGCACGCACGCGCACATGCACACTCACTTGCACATGCACACACAAGTACAATATCCTATTGATTTCAGCACAATCACTTAATTACCTAATAGACAGCTTAAGACTTAAAGCTAAGAGTTCGGCCCCAAGATAGCACTTAGCACACGAATTCTTTAATATCAGTAGTTAACCCAGAAACGCCTTATGTTATAATACCTGAGTTCACCAAATGGCTTCTCAGAAAAAAAAATTATTGTAATTATAACCAAATATCAGTAAATGTCAATCCAGTAACTAGTACCTAGTTGTTCAAGCCAAAAACAAATTCTCTGTCCCTTGCCACATCCAAATTGTTGGCAATCCTGGTTTTTCTAGTCTAAAATAGGTCCCAAATCTGGCCAAGTTTCACCATCTCTAATTCCTAACATCCTAGTTCAAGCACCACTGTTTCTTGCCTGGTCTTCCTGTTGATTCTCTTGCCCCTTTAGAATCCATACTTTACACAAAAGTCAAAGAAATTATTATAAATTAAATAAGAACACATTATCCCCTGCTTAACTTCCTCCAGTGTCTCCCCACAACGTACATTGCCCTACTACTGAGCTTTTCAAACTCTTATCTTATTTCTCTTTCCCAGCCTTTGGTTCCTTCAAGAGCACCTTGTTCCCACTCTGGGCATTTGCACATTCTGTCCCTTCCTCCTGAAACACTTGCCTCCACAATTTCCTGTGGGAATCTTCATGATATCATCTAGATCTCATTCTAAATGAGACTTCCTCACAGGGTTCTTCACTAAGCACTCATGGAAATGGCCATCACAGTCATTATCCTATCACTGTTTGACTTTCTTCATAGCTATTGACAATATCATGGTCATTTTTTTGTCTACTTGCTTATTGTCTGCCTCCCCCAGTCTAGACATAAATTCAGTGAGGGCAGAAGTTTTTTTTTGTTTTTTTTATTTACCACTCATGCTTCCATACCTAGAACACTGTTTGAAATTCTTTAAAAATGTATCTTTACTGTTGAAAGTAATACAGATGTAACCACCCCCCCTCATTGACCCTTCCAGCCAGCTGAAATCTTTTTGTTAAATAAGCATGTGTTGAGTGCTTACTATGGATAAGTTTGATGGTATGCTCATGACATAGATGATCTTATTTTATATTCTTCGACATTTTACAGGTGGTACAATTAGTATCCCTGTTGTCACAGAAGGAATATGAGACTTAGATAGGTTAAGTATCTTGCCAATCATACAGCAAATAGATGATGGTACTTGTATTTTAAACTCAAGCCTATTGAGACATAGTTTATGGATAGTAAAACATTCCCATTTTAGGTGTAGAGATTAAGTTTTAATAAATGTATGCACCTGTGTAAGTAGCACCACAATTAAGACATAGAACACTGTATCACCCCGAAGGATGCCGTTGTTCCTTTTCCAAGCTAACCCCCAACTCACCCTGGCCCCTGGCAGCAATGATCTGCTATCAATATAGATTAGATACAGGAGGCAGTCCCCTATCTACATTTACACCCACATTAGAAATCACGACCAGCTACTTTGTTTGGCCCTAAAGTCATTTCTGAAGTATCATCTTTGATGAATGAACAGGTAACATTCAGATGTTTAGATGAAATTGTTATATAGTCCAATTTTTTAATAAGAAAAGCTAATTGTGCAAACATGAATATGGGTAAGTAACAATGAATGTAGACAAATAAGTAGCCATCATTGATTAAGGTAAAATAATACTTAAAAACTAAAAATCCAGGTTCAAATTCTTATTAGTTTTGTGTCTTTAGATTAGTTTTTCACACACCAAGTCTTAATTTCCTGATTTCCTATAAAAATAGAGATAATTATAGCCACATTGCAGAGATAGTAACAAGATCATGTAGTTAATACAAAACACATGAATTTGTACTTAATAGGCCATTGATGGTCATAGTGCTCATGACTCTTTCTAATCCAGGAGCTAGGCCACACTGCCTGAAATTCTTAGCAGTCTATCTTTTCAAAGTATCACAATTGCCTATCAAGACTTGGGCATCTGTGTGAAATGGGTAGAGAGAGAAATTATTACTCAGATTGGTCAAATGGAGGAACCAAAAGCAAAGAACATCCAAAGTGACTTGCACAGGCTGCAAACAGATGTTGGCAGTGAGCTCAGTAATTCAGATTGTTCCAAAGACTCTCAAAGTAACACGTGTGCATTACTCATTGCCGCTGTACTTCTGCTAAGCTGGTGAGAGGAAACTGCCTTCATTGCATTTAGTGAGTAAGGAATCTAAAGCATGAGGTACTTAAACAACTATACAAATTGTTAACATTAAATAATGACAGAGCAGGGACTAAAACTTTAACCTGTGGATTTACCATTTTCTTAGCACTGAGCTTGCCTAGCCCACAAACTTTAAAACTGGAGCTTTATGAAAACAAATTGCTAATCAGCACATTCAAGAAAAATGAAGAGAATAAAGAGACAGAAGGAAAATGGAAAGAACTCTTAAAGAAATTTGACAGAATAAAGATAAACACTAAAAATGGTAGAAGTTGTGAATATGGCCCATATGTTCTTCTGGAGCCAGAAATTACCCAGACAAATAGGTGGGAATATATGGCTGCTAGACAGACAATGGACTAGAAATATCCATTTAGGAATATAGCAGTCAATGTGTCATCAAAAAAAATGTATCTTTGGGATCATGGAGAATATGCTATTCCAATAATGCCTCCAAAATGTCAAAATTCTTGGTCCGTGGCTGCATAAAATGAGTTATTGGCTTGAACTGAAGCAGAGAAGATAGACTTTCATGCAGAAAAAAACTTCACTCCCTTTTAGCTAGCTCCTTGCAAAAGAATGTTGTGATAGTTGGTGAAGAAGCACTTTCTAAAATAAGAATATCCATTTCGGATTCAGAACAATTCTTAATATTTCCATGTCTGAAAGAACTCATATCTAGTGGTGTTTAAGAATTAATAGAGTATGATGTTCCAGGATTCCTGAATCCCTTTTCTGCAGAGGCAGAGCGGGGAGGGGGGTTTCACGATATTAAGTCACGAGTGGTATAAGGCGTATGTCATGAATAATGCTGGCACAGACTTAATTCCACTTGCTACATGCTAACCTACTTCTCTTGCCCTGTGCTAAATGGCAGGGTGAGGGTTATACCTTTATCTTTTTGATGGAGATATAGAACTTCATTCTCTAAGAGGAGATGCTGAGTATTTTTAAGGGGGGCTTAACGATTAGTGCAGGTGCTCATATGTCAAGAACACTTTAAGAATGGTCCTGCCTGGAAGCAGAATGACAAATCTTAGTGGGAGGTGTTTGAATTATGCCGGAATTCAGAACATGGAATGACACACTATGCTATTTTACTTCGGTTCATTCTTATCCCTAACTCTTAAGGGATAAAAAAAAAAAAGAGCAAAACAACACTCCATGTTTCTACACACTTTGAGATGTGTGGGATACACACATGTGTGCCACATCCACACGGGCAGGTTCAGTGAGCCTGAGGAAGGGCGGTGAAGGGTTAAAGAAGACAGACACGAGAATACAGCTGTGTCTAGGTGGGATGCTGCTTCTCTGATGGAAAGACAGGCCACAGCCTGCAGCCAAGTCTTCATTTTATAGTCAGAGCACACAAAGCAAAACAAAGATAGTGGTCAACATGTTTACAATGTTCTTGTGAGTTTCACCTTGTTTTAGCAGCACTTGCTGCACCTCCCACAGCCCATTAACTACCTAGAAGGAGCAAGGGAGGGCTATAAGGTCAAGCTTAATTATGCTAGGAGAGCTCTGCCCTCAAAGCTGGGACTTATCTATGGCCCTGCCACAGGTTTCAGTCAGAGGTTTAACCCTATAGCTGCTCCCTACACTTCAGTGTAAGAGAAAACCATAGTGAAGAAGATACTAGTCATATTTACATTCCTGGGCATTTGCCATGTGCTGGGCCCAGTGCTAAAGGTTTTATACACTTAGAGAGGATAAATGGCTGGGAAAAGATAGACACTCAGTAAAACTGGAAATCAGCAAAAGTTATCACTGCTGTCTTTCTATGGTGTGTGACTTTGTGATTTCCTTTATTTTAAATTTCCCCATCCTAACCACACCACACACACAGTGCTGTGTTCCACCCAAGAGCTATAAGCCAGAACTTTCCTGAGCTCTTGTCAAAACATGGAACTAGAGTGACCATTTCCCCTTTAAGTCACAATGATGTGTGACTGCAAATGTGTCTATTGCAGCTTGTCTGGCACCTTTTCAGATGTGACTTAGTTCCAGTCATTAACAATGAAGAGCATCCACATACAAATCTGAATTTTGTATTCTTCTTCTATGAGAACTGGATGATTACAAAGGACTGGGCTCACCATCCTGTAACAACACAACGAGGTCCAGGACTGGAGCGGAGGCTGCCCCTGTTAAACAGGGAGCATAAGGTCCTTTTTCAAGCTCCCAGAGGGTGCCCTCCACCGTTTTAACTGTTTACTGTGGGGAAAGGGGTGTGGTTAGGGATTTTGATCACTGCCAGCATGTAACCGTGGGAACAGAGTGGGTAGTTCCCCATGCAGAAATACTGGAGGGGGGGAGGGTGTTGAGAGCCCTGGGGCAGGGGCCTCTGAGCCAGAGATGTGTCACTGTTGGCTGTATACCAAGCATGTCAAACTCACGGCCCTCAGGTTCAAAATTCAGATTTGTATGTGGATGCTCTTCATTGTTAATGATTGGAACTAAATCACATCTGAAAAGGTGCTAGGCAAGCTGCAATAGACATGCAGCCCACAAAGAATATTTTTGTGGTCCAGCCAATATAACGGTATGGAAGAAACGTTTTAATAAAAATATTGTAACTTAATTTTTACAATGTCCTGTTATACATAATTATTAATAACAAACGACAACATTCACTAGTGACTGATTACTATAATTGTGTTGCATTCATTTCCCTTACGCGCCTTACATGCAGGCGCAACATTTCTCTCCACTAATACTAGCAGCAAATATTTTAGCAGCCAATTGCCACATCATTAGTCTTGGACTGACTTGTTTGGTGTGCACAACAGGAAATATTTCGCTTTCAGAGAACAAGAAAAATAGGTTTATTTGTGTTACACTTATTAATTTGTGCAGTTAATTTGTGTCTGGTAAGTTAATGTTCAAGAAAAATATTAAATTTTATTAAAATGTTCTATTATTTTATGTTACTCATTTATTTCCGCGATTTGTATTCAGCATGTCTCTATAGAAATAAACCTACGTTTCTATGAAAATTGAAGCTTTTGTTTTATTTGTGGCCCACATAAACTTAAACCTTATTTATTTGGCCTGTGTTAGCTTTTGAGTTTGACATGCTTGCTGTATACCTATAGGTACAACTAAGTGCATAGAGATTTGGGGAACTCTTTTGTGTTTGTTTTTGGTATTTTACCTTAGAGCAAAACTAAATTAACATAAAAGGAAGGAATCCATGGCCCAAACTACCCACAGCCCCATCACCTAAATAAATCAGTGTTGTCCTTTAATTTTCCCCAGAGACCTCATTCCCAGGCACATTCGATGATTGCCTTGATTGAGCTGCAATACTGTGTATGTTCCTTTTACATTGCACTACAAACCTACTTCCTATTTTGCCTTTATATTTTCTTTACGTCCTCCAGGACCTAAGGTAACTACCCAAACCTATAACAATATCTATAAACACAGATATAAGAGCACTTCGTTTGTTCTTTCCTCCTCTTCAATTCCTTTACAGAACTGAGCTGGAAAAGGTAGGCTTGTAGTCAGCCTACCTTTTTCAACTCAGTTCCTGGAGTACCTTTCTTCTAGTGACTTAGGAGAGTAGATGTCTCGTGTGGCTTTTTAGACTACAGTCACAGCCCAGGTTATGGCACTGGGCAGGAATTTGTTCTCGGTTTTGCTGGGCTCAAAAGTGTGTGCAAAAGCAAAGGATATAATTTTGTCTCCCTCCAAGCTGTCCCCGTAGCTTTCACTCGGGGCTGTACCCAATTTTGAGTTGTACAACCTGGCTATTTTCTTCTTCTTCTTTTGTTTTAAGGAGCCAAAGTGTATCTGTTATGCACTGTTTAAAAAAATAGGGCCTTAGCCCTGGCTAGGTAGCTCAGTTGGTTATAGCATCATGCCCATATGCTGAGGTTGCAGGTTTGACCCCAGGTCATGGTACATACAAGAATCAACCAGTGAATGCATAAATAAGTAAAACACCAAATTGATATCTCTCTCTCGTTCTCTCTCTCTCTCTCTCTCTTTGTCTCTCTCTCTCTCCCCTCTCTCTCCCCTGTATAACCCTTCCTCTCTCTCTAAAATCAATCAATAAATAAGAAATTTAAAAATATGGCCGTAAACACTTAAATATCTCTATAGGTTTGTAGTTTCTCAAAATAAAATGATAAAAGGGATTCTAAGCTAAAAAGAAATTCATTGCTATAATTTGTCTTCTAAATAATAACAAAAACAAGCTATAGCCTCTTTTATCTGAAGTTTTAGCTGTCTTTCTTTACTCCATGACACAGGGCTCAAGACCTACATTATTGCATTCAGTTTGCAAAGCTATCGAGATGCCCTTGAGTAAGATTCATCATCTTGTCCTAAATTCTCCACACACTCCACTAAAAGCCTAGTGGCAGACTGAAGGGATTGTCAGAAAGCATAAAAGGCAAAATAAAAATTTTATGCTCTTTTAGGCAAGTGAAGATCTGCCCTGGAGCAGTTTCTGATATTAACTCATTAATCCGCACAACCTATCTAGACGATAGATTTCAGAAGGGAGCGGAGCCTTGTCATCTCAACCGCCTTCAAAACTTGTCCCAAACTGAGCACTGGCCCTTCCCTTGGGCTTGGTCAGGATCCCCGCAGAGCCCAGAGGGATGGATAAACGGGCTTCTAAAGTGTCTCTACAACTTCCTTTTCCCTGTCACCAGGACTCACAGTGGCACAGGACCCTGTGCTTGGTTTAATGTATGTCTGTTGTCATCTTTATTTATTTTTAATATTTATTTTTTTATTGATTTCAGAGAGGAAGGGAGAGGGAGAGAGAGACACACACATCAATGATGAGAGAGAATCACTGATAGGCTGCCTTTTGCACTGGGGATCCCCCACACTGGGTATGGAGCCCAGAACCCAGGCTTGTGCCCTGACTGGGAATCGAACTATGACCTCCTGGTTCATATGTCAACGCTCACCCGCTAAGCCATGCTGTCTGGGATTGATTTTTTTTTTTAATGAATATTGAACAAGGAGTCCTGCGTTTTCATTCTGTATTGGGCCCCACCAGTTGTGTAGCCAATTCTGCCCGTCATGCATCCTGAGAGAAAAGACATCAGTAGTAAAATGCTCAGGCCAGGAAATGTTTCCTTGATCTCCATCCTTATGCTAATGACTTAGGAGGAGAGGCCACATTTTCTATTGTCTCATCAGAGCTCTAGTTTTGCTCTACTTGTTCGAAACTAAATTGGGCTATGTGCTTGGAATTTTAACTAAAATGTTAAGGCTAGATATTTTCCCTTTCAATTCTATTTATGCCACAGTTATGTTTTCGCAGTTCGAAATCCTATTTAATTTACTTTATGGTGTTTTTAATTGTTGCCATATAATACCGTACCTTCTTTGCATGTGGCATCTCAACAATGTGCAATTTCTAATAGTCAGCATGAAATCATAACTTAGAAAAACATTGCTGAGCTAATTACAGGGACTATCAAAATAAATCCAAATCTTTTCTGGGCCACAGTCCATATCTGAATCATAATAAGTGTGAAATGTTTACAAATCATTACAAATTTTCCACATAGTTCCACTCAGTGTTAGGGCCAATCATGTTTTTTCAGTCATTTGAGGCGACATGTTGGATCATCTCCAGTGAGAGCACTGATTTTAGAAAACAGCTTATTAAAGATTATAAAGATCAAAAGAAAAAATTAAAATAGCCCTGAAAAATGCAAACTGTAAGGAACGTTCTTCGTGGAACTATTTGAGTACACGCATAAACATAATCTAGTATTTATTTAGAAAAACATTTCACTGAAGCAAATAAAGGCAAGAAATTGAAGGAATGTAGTCAGGCACTTTATTTTGTATAAGCTAATGAATTCACATGTTAAAGTTCTGTTTAGATAACTAATAATTATATAATGGTAAAGTAGCTTATTTATGACAAAATGAAGGGGGTTTATTTTAATAAGTATTCACCTAGTATTACTTTTATGACATTAGATGAGCTGCTACCTTAGGCAGAATTCTAAGACCAATTTTTAATTTTTACAAGATTCATTGCACCTACTGTGTGCGACACATTGGAAGAATTCATTAATGCTCCACATTTCTTATTCCTTTACATGTTCTTAGTCCTACTAGACTGAACTACTAGAAATATACTTTAAGAAGCAATGAACTCAGTTCTTTTAACTTCCTAAAGCTATGCCTGTAAGAAGCCAGATATCAAATTTTAAAATTCAAAGAAAGAGGGGTTAGTGTTTGCATTCTGATAAAAAATGGTTTATATATGCTTGAGTCTATAAATGAGCTTTAGGGTGGTTGTGGGGGATTGAGCAAAAAAAGGGGAAAAAAGAGAAAATTGATTTCCATGGGGAGGTGTAAGGGAGCTATGTGGAAGAGCATAAAGGGGGGATAAATGGTGATGGAAGACTTGACTGGGGTAGTGAACATACAATTCAGTGTTCAGATGCTGTGTTGTGGAATTGTGCACCTGAAACCTGTATAATTTTGTTAACCAGTTTCACTCCAATAAATAACTAAAAATGAGTTTTAGGGAGTTCCTGAAACCCCCAAATTGCAGTGAAATTTGGAGGGGGGCATTTTTCTGGTGTGAGCATTTGTAGCTATCTTTTAATTCCCAAAGAATCTATGGTCTTGACCACTAACAGCCTGCCCACATACTAGCATGCCTTACTGCAGCTACTCAGTAAGCATCACAAGGTCATGGTGCATGCAAAAACCATGAAGTGCAAAATAAGTCAGATTTCTTTTCTGAAAGTTCTCTGAGAGTCTATGGTTGCATCATTTTGTTGTACTTAGCATCATTTGGTTCTGTGATGATTTTTCCTGTAAGTGGAAGTATACATTCTCCATGGGAATGCAAAACACTTTTGAGCCATAATTCTATTTTTAGTCTACTGTAGCTTGGGTACATGTTGTAGACTGAGACATTCAGACACTGTGATCCATGATGTTTAGAGGATGTCAGAATTGAGAGTATAAATTTCCTTGATAGAAAAGAAAAGAATTTCCAACTTGACCAATATTTTGTTAAATACTATGTGTGAAAATAAGGATGACGTGTTGGTAACACTGTGATTTGCTAAAAGTGGAAATAATGCAGTCAAATGATTCCAATTAATTCATTCAATTCTCATTTTTTATCTGATATAATGCAAAATAATGCCAATAACTTGTCTTTGAGTTCAAAGTTTCAAACACCACCCTCCAGAGATTCTACGAAGTGCTATATTTAATACAATTAATTTAGATGTCCTGTCCAACAACAGTAAACTCTTCCATTGGCCATTGCTTTGGGAAGAGATTGAGAAATTTTTAATAGAAATACAAATAATTCTTTAACTGTCTCCATGATGACATGCTTTTATCCACAATAAGTATTAATCTTTGCAAAAACAAAGCATTTGATGAAATATAAAATAACTATGGTTACATCTAACATTTGGTCTCAAACTTGAGACAGATCTCTTACTTTGTAGCAAACAGTTTGGTCTAACTATTATTTATTGTCTTTTTCTTTTAGTAAGCATATCCTAATTTCTTTTTGAGAATTCTCCTGTCTCCAGCACAGCTGACTTATAGCCAACACCAGAGCCGGATCCTGACTGGCTAAAACCAGCCAACAAGTTCAATCTCTCATACAATGACCAGAGTCGAGTGAACGTCAGTAAATACAAGAAGATCTTTGCTGAGAGTTTCTGAGGAAACAAATTTCCATTTTCTTCTTTGAGAGCTTCCAGAAGAGATTTTCTCTCTTGACTGCTTAGGAATTAGGAAGCATTTAGTTCCCTAAAGCTGAGCCTTTCTTGAATGAAGCAGACACTTTGACAGGTAGAGAGGATAATAAGAAAAAAATGGGATCTTTAATAACATGACTTCATTTCTTTTTAAAATTAATTTATTTTTTATTGATGTATAATTGTCATATAACATTACAGTAGTTTCAGATGTACAACATAATGATTTTATAAATTGCAAAATTATCACTAAAGTAAGTATAGTTAACATCTGTTAGCATACATAATTATACAATTTTTTTCTTGTGATGGAATTTTCAAGATGTACTCTTTTAGCAACTTTCAAATAAGCAAACAGTATTATTAAATACTAGAGGCCCAGTGCATGAATCACAATTGAGGCGGATTGGGACTGAGCCTGTTGGGAGGAGGAGATGGTGGGAGGTTGGCCGGCCAGCCCACCCTGATCGGGCCGTAAGGGCCAGCCGGCTGTGGGTAGGGACCACGGGCAATTGGCCGGCAGGCGCCACCCCTGAGTGGGATTGGGGGGCTGAATGGGGCAGGGCCAGCCATGGGGATGGGCTGTGGGCAGTGGGCTGGATGGTCCTGCCCCCAGATGGCGGATGGCGTGGAGGGTGCTGATCAGGGGCCAGCGGCCTGGGAAAGGGATCATGGGTGGTTGGCTGGCAGGCCTTGCCCCTGATTGGGGTGGAACCCCAACCCTATTGGGGTAGGGGTGCAATCAGGGATGGGGCCTGCTGGGGGGAGGGGCTGCGGGCCTATCTGGTGGGGCAGGCCAATAGGGGGCGGGGTTAGCTGATCTTGGGTGGGGCCGGGCTGGGGGAGGAGCTGCAGGAAGTTGGCTGGCCGGTCCCACCCCCTATTTGGGTGTGGGGGAGATCAGGAGCAAGGCTGGCTGTGGGGAGAGGCTGCAGGCAGATTAGGGTGGTGGGGGCCCATTGGGGGTGGGTCTGGCCAGGGGGAGGGGCTGCAGGAGGTTGGCTGGCTGACCCCAACCCTATTGGGGTAGGGGTGCAATCAGGGATGGGGCCTGCTGGGGGGGGGGGCTGCGGCCTGCTGGGGGGAGGGGCTGCGGGCCTATCTGGTGGGGCAGGCCAATAGGGGGCGGGGTTTGTCAGGGGGAAGAGCATGGGAGGGCACGTTTGGCCCACTGGCCCCACCCTTGATTGGGGTGGCAGAGTCCACTCAAGGGTAGGCCAGCCATGGTGAGGAGCTGTGGGAGGTTGGCCGTGGCCCCACGCCCTGATTGGGCTGATTTGCTAGCTACAGTGGGCGTCATAGCAATGGGTTGTTCTGGTCATTTTAGCGTTAAGGTCACTGGCTTTTTATATATATAGATAGTTACCATGCTGTACATTACACCCCCTGACTTACTTATTTTTTCTTTCTCTGTCTGACATTTTACTTAACATAATGCCCTCAATGCCCATCCATGTTGTCACAAATGGCAAAATTTCATTCTTTTTGTAATGGGTATACATCTATATCTATATCTATATCATAGAAGGGTAATATGCTAATTAGACCAGACATCCTCTGGACGAAGCCAGGGCCAGAGGGAAGCCCAGGTCC